TCTCTGAATAATCAAAGAATTTCTAAATTACTTCACTTCTCTGGCCTTGATTGCTTCATCTATAAAAGAGATTCATACATAATCCTTAAGGTCCTTTCCAGCCCCCAAACTTCCTTGGGCAGTTCGTGGTAAGGTAGGTACCAACAGGTGTCTTTTCAAGGCCATAAAGATTCGTTGACATGTGAAACAACTAAAAACAAATAAAGCAAATTGGTCTGCTTAAAACCCTGGTTCCTCCCTCAGAGGCAATATGGCCAGTCAAGAGAAATCAAAGTCTAATGGGCACCAAATCTCAGCCCAGGCCTGTGAAACATTCACATTCACCTCTGTCAATTTGGTTTTCACTTTGCTTTCATTATAATGCCTGGCTGAAATTCCTACCCTGCTCCCATGTTGCACCAACTGATCATTTTTTCTTTTTCTTGAATCAGGTTTAACTTTCTGAAGATTAAAAAGTATAAACAAAAAAATGATACAAAATAGAGGAAGAACTATAGAACTGAAAAGAACGTTTTAATGTGAAAGTCTCCAAACGAGGCTGAACTACCTACTCCTCAGAGGGTTGAGTGGTTTGAGCCATATACATTAGCACTTGCCTCCTCAGGCTGATCTGTTTGTTGGTTGCTATGTGGATGGTGATAAAATATCCATTTGGGTGGGGTCAAAAATTATATTACAGTCTTAGAGCACATCTGCAAATCCTGGCTTTTTGAACAAATGACTGTAGTTCACTGGGCTTTCATGCTGTCAGAAGCTGCTTCCCAAATACCAACTTTGAACAGAGCTCTACCATATGGACACATGGGGTCAATGAAAAATGGTGTCTGAGGGGCCCCAAAGCATGAGAAGGTCTGGCAAAAAGTGACAGGTTTTATCCAAGCTGCTGAAGAGAAATGTACTGAGACTAGAAAGACTAAGGAGGTACACGCCTTCAGAACGTGTCTGTGGGTCAAAATAAACCCTAACAGATTCTTGAGAGAGCCCCTGGCGGCCGTGTTAACCTTGGCATTGTTAACATTAAGAGGCTATGCTCATTTCTGGCAGCTAACACTGGACACATTGACAGCAACCCTGTTGATGGAAGAGGAAAGAATCTGTTTTGCAGTTTAAAAAAAAAAAAATGTTCTCAGATTTCTGAAGCCATTTGAAATCATGCCAGAGAAATGCTTGATTTCAGCATTCTTAAGCTCTCTGCGATGATGCCGCAAGTGGTGTCCCCCACATGTGATGATGTATTTCAGAGCCAGAGTTTTCTCAAGATGTTCCAAGCCTGCAGGCTCCTGGTCCTTTTTCAAATTACCAAGATGATAGTATCCCAGTGAGAACTGTGATTAGTCTAAACTCTCCACAGCTGTGAGAGATGAATGTGCAAATTCCAATAAAGATTCTGTGTGTTCTGGACTGAATTTACCTATATGACATCGAGGCCTTATTCAGGGAACACTTAAAAGAACTGAAGCTGCCTCGGTGCTATTCAATTTCTTCCACGGCATCAGCTGCTTAGAGGCTTTCGACTATTCCAGAGGATGCCCCTGTTCACACCAATGTCATGGACCAGCAGTGGGTATGTATTTAGAAGGCCTGCAAAGTGTGGGGAAGAAAGCAGGGCTAAGAAAATTAAACTTAAATATGCAGGAACTCAAAGAAGCCTCCCAATTTATTATGTGTATATCCAGGAGGGTTATAAAACACCTTGTAACTGTTGACCTGGAGTTGTGGGGACAACAGAAGCAGCTGTATCACCCCCCTAACTCATTTATAATATCACCAGCGAGAACACAGGCTCAGAGCATTCTTCAGTTACTTGGAAAAGCCAACAGGGCTCTGTCTCCAAAGGGACACCTAGTTGCCCTAAAATATTTAATAAAATAGATGGAAAGGATCAACTTATTGTTGGTTTAAAAATAAAAACTTAATAAAACCACAGTTTACTAAATTATCAAATATTTTCTCAAATACTAAAGGCTATATCAGCAAATGTAATGAAATTGATAATATCAATTATTTGAGATAAACATTAGATTTTTTATATAAAAAAGGAATACTAAGTAAATGTAGTAACACATGGCATGCCCCTTCATTGTGTTTAATAATTGTATCATTTTATGGTTTTTTTTTTTTTTTTGAGTCTCACACAGAATCTCACCCTCAGTGTAGTGCCGTGGCACCACAGCTCACAGCAACCTCAAAACCCAAGTAGCTGGGAATACAGGTACCCGCCACAACGCCCAGCTATTTTTAGAGATGGAATCTCACTCTGGCTCAGGCCATCCTTCCAACTCAGCTTCCCAGAGTGCTAGGATTACAGGTGTGAGCCACCCAGCCCCACCAATAATTGTATCATTTTAAGGGACCTATTTATTCACCTTTATAAAACACTTGACATTCGGCATGCTCTCCATGACTGGGAAAGACATAGGGTACCAGGATTCACAATCTTGTCTACACTATATTAACAATTAAAGAAATAAGAAAGAAGATTAGAAAACAAAACGAAAATACTAAGAGAATATATAACATGGTTTTGAAAAAATTATCTTCTAATATGATTTTCACAAATGTAGACTCTTCTAAAGCCATATCTAACTTCATCTTCTACATCCACAATCCACCGTTTAGGGTCCACTGAAAAGTTCCCTGGTATCTGTAAATGTTAATTGTGCATTATCATTTTATAGTTATCACACGATCATACTCACGTGTCACACTTATTTGATATGTGGCATTTCTCCTTGTAGACTCTGAATTGGACTTTTCTCTCTCAGAAACAAAAAAGAAAGAAAGCACAACTAACATCAAGAGACCCACTAGACAGCTGAATGACCCATAAATAAAATTTTCAGACCAAACTCATCCAGATGATCTACACACGGTGTTTTAGTTAAATAAGGGTGGGACTAAGAGAAGGAGGGAACAAGTTCCAAATTTTTCTAATATTCACACAAACGAAACACACAAAATGAGAAACATTTCCTCTTTTACCTTATCACCATATCTCAATGCAAAACTTCTACATGAGATTAAACACTGGTACATGTCACCTCAGATTTCATCTTTTCTAGGGAAAAATCATATCATTAATTTAAACCTGTCAAATTGGATAGCAACTATGCATCACTCCCCCTGGAACGTGGTTGCAAGGACAGCTTTTTGAACTGGCTTTTTCTTGTCTTTCTGCCAGAGTCCAATTCTGGGTACAATCACCTGAAAAGGCAACAAGTTGGGAAAAAAACTTTAAAAAATTGTTTAAAAATTAAGGAGTAGGGAATCATACAATATACCAAGATTCTAATAGCTGAAATAAAGCTGTAGGGAGAATAACCACAGTGGCTCTACCAGAAAGGGGAGTGTTGCCTTGCTGATAATATTCGAAGTTGGTCTGATGGCAGCATAAGTGATGTGTTAATAAACATCTCACAACCAGCTCCTAGGGAGAAAAATCCCTGCTTTATCACATTTCCAATTTCTCTAACGTAATACACCCACTGTGGCTGATGGCAAGCTCCCCAAGTGACATCACTGAATGAGGAAGTCAAGAAGAGAAAGTATTTCGGATACAAGAGATGTAAATAACCTCAACGGTATAAACAGTAAAATAACTAGACTGTGATGAATTTTCAGTATTACCTTTGCTTACATAATTTAACTTTTAATAAGGGGTTGCATTTAACAACTTCCTCCCAAAATTCATGAAAATGTACAGGTGGGCTCTATTGAGCAGATACAACTGGCTCACAGCACCGCGTGCATGTTGCCCTTCACAGACATTAAGTAGATCTTAAACAAACAACAAACCAAATAAATGAAGCTAAAAAAAAATCATCTGGCTCAAACTGTATCTCCAGAGCTTTCAAGGGAAACTCTTTGCTATCCCACTTTAGCACAGGCTAACGATGATACCTTACACTGGCAGCATGCTTTGTACTTTTCAAAGCAGTCCTTTTATGGCACGGTGGTACCGTCTGACCCTCCGTAGAGAATAGTAATCTCTATTAGAGCAGATTCTAATGCCTGGTGGGTGGGGAGTCCTGGGAGCTGTTTGTCAAAGAGAAAGGCGGAGAGGTGAAAGGTGACGCCCATGCAAGGAAGCCAGGAAGCGGGTTGGCGGCCCCAAGGTTTCCAGTTCCCTCCAGGAAATGGCTCCATCCTGGTGCAAGAAGGTAGATGTGCAGTAATCGGTATTTACTTGATCTAATTTTCTCTTTCTCTTTCTCACTCTGATTTGAACGCAACTCAGTTTTTTCTGATGGAGTAGAAAGGGTTGGACGAGATATGTTCTAAGAGTCCTTCAAACAGCTACAGTTACCAGAGCCGTAACATTCAAATATGCTGTTAGCAGACGGAACAGCACAGCAATGCTTTTCTCCAGACCCAAACGTACCTGTTCTCGCAACAAGACTTGTAAAGAGTCTACATAGCTTCTCAATGCCAAATTTAGTACCAGCAGTAGTCGTGGCCGAGTGGTTAAGGCGATGGACTAGAAATCCATTGGGGTCTCCCCGCGCAGGTTCGAATCCTGCCGACTACGAGAAGAGAACATTTTCCTGCAGCAGCTATTTATTTTTCTTTTAGCGCGTTCTCACTTAATCTTCCACAGATACAAAGAATTTACCAACAGTTGGAACACGACGGGAACTGAAACGGAGGAGTGAATGAGAGAGCGAGACAGTGGGCTTGGTGCTTACAACTTGGGCCCCAAAGGGGAAAGTGAGACAAAACATGCCAGACAAGCTGGAGGATGAAAGGGAAAGCGTCGCGCGACCACATAGGAAAAGACAGGTCAGACCTCCGGCCCGGAGGGCAGCCCCGCGCCGACCCCGCCTCGCGGACCCACCACGTCCGCTCGCGCAAGGCCTCGCGGGCATCTCGGGCTGAATTAGGACGGAGCGCGCATGCGCGGGGGCTGTCAGGATGAGGCGCACGACGGGTCCTCGCGTCGCCCCTGGCAACCCTCCGGCGCTGTGGCTACCGGAGCAAGGGGGAAACCTTGACGATTCAAGATGGCGGAGGATCTGGACGAGCTCTTGGATGAAGTCGAGTCCAAGTTTTGCAGACCCGACCCAGTGAGACTGGACATGGTCGAGCTACCCAAAGGCTGCGGCGGCGGCACCCACAGCAGCGACCGGAACCGAACCAAGGCGAAAGAGACTCTCAGGTTAATGGGCGGGAGGGTGGACTGTTCTGGTGACGCCTTGTTCCAGGCCCAAAAGCTGCCCCTTTGCCGCCGCATCCAGAAGAAACGTGCCCGCGATCTCCAGATCCTCCCCGCGTTAGGGTTTAGACCCTCAGTCCCCCCATTCTTGCGACAGCTCACCCCTGGACTCTCTCCTCCAGGATTGTGGCATCGCACCTGCCAGACTCCGCCCCCGGGCAAGCCCCAGGGAGGTGACGGTGCTGATGCCCGGCCCGCGAGAGCAGCGACCCTAGCCAGTCTCTGGGGGGGCCAGAGCCCAGAAGGTCCCAGAGGCGGGAGAGTTGGGGGCGGGGGTGCAACTCAGGGCCCCTCTCCTTGGCCCCCAGAGCGCCGCGCTGACCTCGACCAGATTTTGCTTTTGCCTAGCCAAGCCGTTCTCATCCCCCTGGGGAGTCCCTGTCAGAGAACCTCAACCGCTGTTGAGCACCCCTACTCTTCGGGCCAGTCTTTCTGCCAATTGCTAAAGAAGAAGAAACGATTTTGTTCCGTTCTACTTTAGCTGAATTTTGTTTTAACCTCAAGGAGTTAGGATGAGGGGTTATTTATCTGAACGTTAATCGAACTTCATTCCTTCAATCCGGGTTAAGGGTACCAACAGATCGCCAAATTCGTATGGAAATTTGGGGTAATTTCCGGATCAGTCTCTAGTCGTTGATCCGGAAAAACTGCTCTTTAAATTTGTCAGTCTTTTTTTCTCTTTATAATCATAAATAGTAGGACTCTATCCTTCACTTCATTTCCCCCCTAAACTCCTAAAGAACCAAATGTTTGCATCAGAGTAAATATTGTCCTTCAAAGTGATGACTTGGGAGGTTCTGCATTAACTCTTGCTAGAACCTTTTAGACATTGCCTCTTGCCTATAATATTTTGGAAACGCTTGTGAAATTACACAGAGGCAGCTTTGGATCAATCCAAGAATGTTATTTTTGTCAATTTTATAGCTGCATCTTTGGTTTGGTTTTGCTTTGTTGGTGAATGTGACTTCACCAACAGAAGTACTGCCCAACTCTATCACTACCCAATTCACCAGGCTTACTTCCAATGACATTTATTTGTAAAAATTCACTTTCACAAAATAAAAGCATTGAAAAGATTCTAAAAGAGTCCAGAAACAGAATTTCTTAAAATTTGTTAAGTACCAAGCGCCATTTTAAAACGTGAATGTAGGGCCAACTAGAATGACGACTTTGAATGGACTAACACTCATTTGACTGAATATTTATATAAATATCACTTTCAGGGGCGGCGCCTGTGGCTCAGTGGGTTGGGCGCCTGCCCCATATACCGAGGGTGGCGGGTTCAAACCCAGCCCCAGCCAAACTGCAACAACAACAACAACAAAAAAGCCGGTGTATGGCCGGCGCCTGTAGTCCCAGCTATTGGGGAGGCTGAGGCAAGAGAATCGCCTAAGCCCAGGCACTCTACCAAGGATGATAAAGTGAGACTCTTAAAAAAAAAATATATATATATATATATATATAATTTTTATTGACCTGCATATTATTATCGTGTGTACTGGAATTCCTTATCTATCCATTAGCACATCGACCATCTCTGTCCCACAGCAGTGTTACTTTGCAGTTTTTTTGTTCTTTTTATTTGCTCCTATAAGGGATGAAGAGAATCTATCAAAGAGCTTTTCTGAGCCTGTTCATCATAGAATTAGGAGACAGAGGGTAGGATGTTGTAGAGCAGGCTGCTCAAACTAAAAAGTGCTACTTATGTGGATCTTCCCCAAGTATGAGTTTTCCTGTTATTATACTCCTAAAATCCATTCATAATTCTTTTAGTACTCATTCTACCTTAATTCATTAGATTTTTTCAATACTAAAAAATTTATAAAAACTATAGAGAACCAATACTGTTGCCATTTGTGCAAACATTTTTTATCTGGCCATGTAGTTGTAAATTATGCAAAAAACAACTGCAAAAGCTGTAAACCTAGTACCAAATACAGTCTCTACCAGGCATATATGATGTCATACATTAAAATTTTGCCTGGAGCCAAGATTGATGTTTAAAAGCTAGGAAGCTATTTATGTTGTGTAATTATTAACAGGAGACTAACTGCAGGTTGTATAGCAGTGTACTTTGTATGCCTTGTGAGAGTGAAAATACTTAAATTGCCTCTTAAAATGATAGCAAGTAACAGTAAATGAGCAGCTACATCTGGATACCAGGAACAACTGCTAATATAATTGGTCAAAACATGCAACTTGTTGAAATGTTCAAAATGATAAAGAAAAATATGTGATTAGTTAAAAAAAAGACTGGTGTCGGTTGAGTAGAACTAATAGGAATAAGGTTCAGGATGATACAGATAGGAATATTTAAAGATAACCTTCTAGATAATATCTATAGTAATAACAATAGCCAACATTTATTTAGTACTTTCTATATGCCAAGTGTTTTATGCATGTTATTTCATTTAATCTGTACAACCCCATGAGGTGAATACTATTATCCCCATTTCACTGTCCAAGGCTTAAAAATTAGTTATTTACCCAAAGTCATAAAGCCGAACCTGCCGGGAAATGGTAGATCTAGATTTAAGCTTTCTACATATACTTATCATATTTAAGTATAGTTTTCAAGTATTTCTGTTTATTTTGGTCATACCTTTTATTTTCAGCAGTAACTATATCTTTAAAAGATTAGAATGTAAGAAGCAGAGTCAAGGAGGGAAGCAATAAAAGCTTGTTTGATTAAGATTACTATTACATCAAAAATCAAAAAGCAGGGTGGCACCTGTGGCTCAAAGGAGTAGGGCACTGGCCCCATATGCCAGAGGTGGCAGGTTCAAACCCAGCTCAGGCCAAAAAAAAAAAAAAAAACTGGGAAAAAAGATCAAAACGCATCATAATTTCTAAATTATGCATTTTCAATGAAATATTGCCTTTTTAAAAATTACTATCACTCTAACAAAGCATAGGCAAGTGTAAACATCATAAAATTGTGTGATCTAGGAACAAACCAGAATCTATTTAAGCTGGCAGTTTGGATCTCTGACAGTATTGGTCAGGTTGGTAGTGTTGGAATGTGTCTGATTCTTGAAATTGTGAAATTCCCTGAGAGGAGAGCCCAGAGATAGTGTCCTGAAAATCAGAGGCAGAGAGAATTTTAAGAGAACATCTTAGAAACCTGCTATCATAAAAGAAATTTAAGAAATGGGTACCCAAGAGTGCCAGGTGCTTTTGAAAAATTAAAGAGGATTGGAACTGAGAAAGACTATTAAATATAATGATTTGGACAGTGATAACATTTGAAAAAAAGAGTTTCACTATTGTTGAAAGATGTAGAGGCCAGAAATAGAATTATTTCACCTAGAAGCAGTTTAAAATCATTTCCTTGATATCATTTTAGCAGATAAAATATCTGAAGTTCATTAAGAGTAAATAATTTAAACTAGTTCAGTAGCTCTGAACCAGTGATGATTTTGCCACCCAGGGCATTTGGCAATGTCTGGAGACATTTTTGATTATGACTATGGGCAAGGGGTATGCTAATAGCATCTAGTGAATAGAGGCCAAGCATGCGGAAAACATTCTACAAGACACAATAGCCCCACACACCCACATATCCCAAAGAATTATCAGGCCCAAAATGTCAGTAGTTCCAAGATTGAGAAATCCCATCTGGGTTTAGCCCTTAACCTGTGCTAAATCTAATCTTCCCTAGAAGTAGGAATGATGGCCATAGCCTACTCTTCAGTACTGAGTAAGAAAGGGTATCAGCCTTCAAGAGAGGAATTTTTTTAGAGAAAAGTTTGGGGAATACTTCTACCAGGCATCCTCAAATTATGGCCTGTGGGCCACATCCAGCCTGCCTAGGACATTTATTGGACCCGCCAGGTGTTTTTGCCTGTGCTGCCTGTCCTGCTTAGCAGCCGACTCATCCCGGGGCCCGGTCTGAGGGACAGTGAACCGACCCCCTGTTTAAAAATTTTGAGGACCCCTGAACCAAGGGAAGAAGCCAGTCTAAAGTGAAAGAAACTAGGGCGGCGCCAGGGCACCAGCCCCATATGCCAGAGATGGCAGGTTCAAACCCAGCCCCAGCCAAAAACTGCAAAAAAATAAGTAAATAAATAAATAAAGTAACAGAAAATAAGAATAACGGTTGGAGAAAGAATGACTGAAGAGACTTAGGCTGGAGATAGATGGAGTCAGCCCTTAGGTAGTAGGCAGCAGTCTCTGGATTTTCTTATATTAGGTTAAATTGTCTTACTCCAAGCAGTAACAAAAAAAGGCTATGTTCCTAATGTTAAGAATAATCATAGTAAATATGTTTCTAAAATTAGAGAGCTTGTCAAAAAAATTATCTTCTAGAACAAATGATCTGATGAAGTTAAGAAATTGATGTGCATCTACAACATATAAACACTGAAGAGAGTTAATCTCATATAGCGTTAGGTGCAAGCACTGCCCTCGATTCAGTTCTAAGCTATTCCTTCCACTATTTATATGGCCCTGGGCACGTTTCTAAATCTTACTGCCTTTTCTTCATCTGTAAAATAGAAGTAATAAAGATATCTTCATGTAAAACCATGAAACAGTGTGGCCCGGCATTTAGTGAATAGTCAGTAAATGTCCAATAATGGGCTGTGCAGTAACAGTTTCTGTTAGTAATCCAGTGATGGCTTTGCCTGCAGAAGGTAAAGAGGTAGTTGAGATACTGTCTAACAAATCCCAGTAGTACTAGGAGTTGGGGGTCGATTATATAACCTTTAGCTCCTTAAATAAAGAGATATGGTTACTTGAGTCATTGGAATCCTTAGGGAAAAAAATTAGAAGCACTGGTTAAAATTATCTTTATTTATAATATCAAGTTCTTATAATTATACATTTTTTATATTCTGTAAATAAGTGCTTGATGTAATTCGGAAAAGTACATGCCCAGCTTTCTCTTGAATATAATATATAGCTTTAAATACAGGTGGTATAATAGTAATGTGCATATGTGAATTTGTACCTGATAAACTGTATCTTTGTTTCAACAAACTTAGGCGATGTCTGTAGCAAAAATATAAAAAAAAAATGTCACATTTATCTTTCCATCATCAACTATGTTAATGGACTTTAAACAAAATTCTTCTGATACTGACTTTATCTGCTCTTAAGCTTCTGGTGGGATTTTTGTGTGTGTGTTTTTTCAGATCAACAGAAACATTTAAAGAGGAAGATGATCTTGACAATCTTATTAATGAAATATTTGAAGAGCCCAACTTTGACAAAAAACCCTGTGTAAGTCAAGTGTTATAAATGTGTGGTCATTTTTCATTATTTCAAGATGTATTTAGAGTAGTCTTAAAACTTAAGGGACAAGTAGCTATCGGTAATCCTTTGAATTCTGAGATTACAATTACTTAAAAGAAATTGTTTGCTTATTCAATTATCAGCAAGAATACAAAATTAGAAAAGCTGTTACTGTGAAAGTCAACTCACAGATCAAGTAGGTCATTTATATTTATTTAAGAACACTTCTTGCCGGGCAGGCACAGTGGCTCATGCCTTTAATCCCAGCACTGTGGGAAGCTGAGGAGGGAGAATCGCTGGAGCTCAGGAGTTCGAGACTCTCCTGAGGGAGAGTGAGCCCCCGACTCATGAAAAAAATGGAAAAACCCAGCCAGGCGTCATGGCTAGCGCCTGTAATCCCAGCAGCTTCCAGAGGCTGAGGCAGCGGGATGCCCACAAGCTGGAGTCTGAGGTTGCAGTGAACTATAAGCTACTGCACTCTGCTCAGGGGCACAGGGTGGGACTCTGTATCAACAAAAAAAAAAAAGGAAAGAACATTTCTCTAAACACTTTTCAGTATGGGAATGTGCTTAGCATCTCAGATGCAATGCCATTGTTGTTACCCATGAACCAAATGACTAAATTGTTAATATTTTAATGTATATCTATTTTGACTTTATAAAAAGTTCAGAAAACAATATAACAGCCACTCATACTAAAAATATCATAAAATTCTGCCATATTTGCTTCTCTGGGCTTTTTTTAAAAAATAAAAATTAGACTGGGCAGTGGCTCAAGGCTGTAATCCTAGCACTTTAGGAGGCTGAGGCAGGTGGATTGCTTGAGCTCAGGAGTTCAAGACCAGCCTGAGCAACAGTGAGACCCTGTCTCTACTAAAATAGAAAAACTAGCCAGGCTTTTTGGCAGGTGCCTGTAGTCCTACCTATTGGGGAGGCTGAGGCAGAAAGATCCCTTGAGTTTAGGAGTTTGAGGTTGCTGTGAGCTAGGATGCCACAGCACCCTACCCAGGTGAAAAAGTAAGACTCTGTCTCAAAAAACAAAAAGAAATGAAAATTAGAAATATAGTTTAACACCTCTCCAAACCCTGATCTAATGCCTTTAGTCCCAAAAGTAATCACTTATCCTTCCTGTCCATAGTTTCATACCTTTATTACATATTTATATAACCATAATCAATTTTAACTGGGTATAATATTTCACTGTATAACTCTGCCACAGTTATACAATGTCCACTACCCTGGATGATGGACATTTAGATCATGCCCATTTGCTCACTATTACAAATAATGCGTCATCAGAAATTTTTACCTATCTT